ATGCAAATCCCCCCTCCACTTATGTAATACGGCCCAATCATAATTCTCATACCACCTTTCGGAGGAGGGATTTCTTTATGAAATTTTTACCTCCTATAGCAAAGGTTGATACCCTATTTACTTTAAATAAATATCCTTTTAAAAAATTATATTCCATAGCTACCTTTTAATTTTTTATAGTCAAATATCTATTTATGGTCATCTCCTAACCTTAAGCCATAAAATAAGCTTTGTATTATTTTTCTCTCTCCCCTTAAATTTATCGTATCCCCTACCCCATATCTATTCTCCCCCTCTCTCTCTCTCTTCTTCCACCTTAAGCTTTTCAACCACATGCACAAAGCCTATAAACTCTCGATCTGTTTTAGTAGCCGAATCCATCGAACATTTCTCACCACTCAATCAGAACCAGTGTTAAGCAGTCCCGTCCCAACTCAAGAAAACATCACCCGTTTAATTTTAGAACAAAAATCTGCAACCGAAGCTGTTCAAACCTTTAGATGGGCCTCCGAGCTTCGAATTTTGATGCTGCTTCAACCTCACCGCCGCCGCCGCGGACTATTGTGGCCACGATGCTTGTAAATGCCGTCGAGATTATGGACTGCTGACGGTGGATCCGACGGCTTCAATTGTAAAGAATAGGTTTTTTGAAGCGCACATGAGGGTATTATGGTAACAGGGACGGTGGCGTTTTGAGTCATAATCGCGGCCCTCTCGACGAGACGACATTAGGGTTGTTCTTGAACAAAGACGATTGAGTTTGGGGCTGAGCAACTTGAATTTTCTGTTAATATATTTCAATGTATCTCGCTGTATTTCCATGTATTTCATTGTATTCATTGTCTTTTTTTCATTGTATTTCAATGTATCCCGTTGTATTATAAGTATTTCATTGTATTCACTATCGCTATATGCCATGAATGTATTCATAAGTTTTTTTTAATTAATATAATTTATGTATTCAGATGTATTATATAATTTCTCTGAAGATTGCTATGTTTTTGGGGTATTTTTCAGTTAAGAATCTTTTTTAATATATTTCAATGTATCTCGCTGTATTTCCATGTATTTCATTGTATTCATTGTCTTTTTTTCATTGTATTTCAATGTATCCCGTTGTATTCTATGTATTTCATTGTATTCACTATCTCGCTATATGCCATGAATGTATTCATAAGTTTTGTTTAATTAATATAATTTATGTATTCAGATGTATTATATAATTTCTCTGAAGATTGCTATGTTTTTGGGGTATTTTTCCGTTGAGAATCTTTTTTATAACTGAAAATACAAAATTTGTGTGTTATAATTGAGTTTGTTGAGTTATATTAGGAGTCTATTATGTTAATTGATTCACTTTTCGTTTTAAAAACAGTGTAATCCCCTATTTCACGCCGTGAATACAGTCGAAACACTCGAATACAACAACTGATTAGCTGGACTTCCCTGATTTACACCTATTTTTGCTACTGTATTCATGAATACAATAGCTTAAATACATCAAATACATCTTATAACCACAGAAAAGGTATCTATAATCCGTAATATAGCAAATGGTATCTATAGATGGCTAATTACTACTAAAAGATAGTGTTTTATGAAAATTTCTCTTTTTTTATTCATATACAATATTTGAAACTTATTTACCAAAATTGTCCTAGTTTTATATATTACTAGCCATAAACAAGGATTACCTACAAATTATATACGATGCCTTAAATTAGGGAATTTAATAGTGGCAACTGAGGGGGCTGAGTTTGCTGGATTGGTTGTGCAGTCTGAGTCGAGGTTTCATGGGTTCCAGATCCGAGGTAGCAAAAGGCAAAGAGAAGTGGGTGGGTCGGGTACAAATGGAGCAATTTTGATCTATTTAACTGGAGGAGGAAGAGGGAAAATCCCGTTGATTCGGTAGCTGGTTACACCATTGGAGCCGGTAGGATACAAATTTGATAAAATTTTATATTTATAATAATATATAAATTAAAAATGAATTTTATACAACTAATTATATAGTATACAACTTATTTGCAACTTATCTACAACTTTCATACATTATTTTTTCCCAGTAAAAGACATCCAAAATATCATACAACTTAAATACAATTTTTATACAAATTTTATACAATATGTCTTTTGTATATTTTGTATCTGATTTTATACATTGTAAAAACAAATTTCATACAACTAATTATATATTATACAACTTATCTACAACGTATCTACAACTTTCATACATTATTTCTACACAGTTATATACAACTACAATATCATACAACTTAAATACAATTTTTATACAATATTGTTCAACTTCCATAAATACTTAAATAAACAAAAAATATATAAATAACATAATACAATTTTTCTACAATTTTACTACAACTTTACTATAATTTCTGCAGTATAATATATGTCATGTCTTCTTCTTCTTATTCGAGTTTCAATCTGAAATTCAGCCAAAATCAGGTCTAATCTTCACCAAAACACCCTCAAGATTGAGATATAAACTTCAAACCATATTCCCAATTGTTTGCAACAACACCCGATCCAAACAAATAATGACTTTTGAAAATCCAAATTCGAATTCAAAGCTTCAAAGCTTTTTAATGGCTGTCAATGGTGGAATTGCTGCTCTCTTTTTCTTTGCTTTACATTACTGAAATTAGGGATTGAGAGATAGAGAGAGACATAGAGAGAATTCTCAATTGTTTGCAACAACACCCAATCAAACAAGTAATATTTTTGAAAACCCAAAATTCGAATTCAAAGATTCAAAACTTTTTAATGGCTATCAATGGTGGAATTGCTGATATGGAGAGAGAAACGTAGGGGGGGGGGGGGGGGTGAGTAGGGCTGGGCATATATCGGGTAAAACCGATAACCCGAACCGTTAATTGTTTATTGGGTTATCGGTATCGGGTTATTGGGTTAACGGTTCGATAACGGTTTAGAATTTTTTCACTATTGGGTTATCGGTACGGGCCTCGATTTTTCAATTTTGTTAATGAGTTAACTGATAACCCAATAAGAATTAATAAAATTATGACTTTACCTTTAAGTATATACATATGCTAGGGCTTCAGTTCATTTTCTCCTATTCTTTCTCAGCCGCACTCTTCCGTTGCTTCATCTTCATTCTTCATATACCTTACTAGTTACTCTAGCGTAAGTCTTTAGTCTTATATAGTACGCTGAGCTTTGGCAACACGACAACATTTTCTTGCCTTCTAGGTATTTTCATTTCTGTGTTAGTATTGCCCATGCACAGATCAAGGTTTTGTTTCTACGGTTTCTTTTTCAGGTTAGGCATTTGACAAATAACATTTAGTTTATCTTGAACTGTTAGTACTATATGTTTGGACTTGTTAATTTTAAGGTGAAATTGCTACTACTTTATATTATTATTAATGTATTTGGACAATCGTTGTTGAAGAATTAGTACTATTCCAGTTGTGGCCACCGGACAGAACGCAGAAATGGGTAGTATACTATATGTGAATTCTTCTCCTTTTTGCTTAACTCCGGTGAATTGTCTTCTCTTTTTTGCTTAACTCTAGATTGAGTCATCTTATCGGGTAAACCGATAACCGAACCGATAATGATCGATAACTGATTAACCGATAACCGATAACCGATATCTTATCGGCTCGGTTATTGGTTTATCAAATTTGTAAACCGATAACCGATATGCTAAAACGATAATATTCATAACCGAACGGAACCGACCGATACCCACCCCTAGGGGTGAGTGAGATAAAGAGAGAGAGAGAGAGAAACGTGGAGGGAGTGGGAGTGATTGTAGGAATTGATTAATTATCCTTAAATCCAAAAAATATACATAATTGGTAATTTTGTATATAGGAGGTAATTATAGTAAAACTTGAGTAGGGAGGATAATAAAGTTTTCAATAATGTATATGTATGTAAAAATCTCTTCGGAGAATGGAATTTTATATTTATCATCGCAAATCCCTGTTTACTTTTTGACGAGAACACTAAATTTACATAATTGACTTGTTAAACAAATGTGTTTATCCAACTACTAAGTCAACCAATTCTCTCTCTCTTTTCATTCTTTTTTCCCTAGAAGTTTAGGTGAATTAGTATTTTATTTATATATCTTGTATATTCTCATATTTTATTTCCTTTGCCTCGTCTACTTGTTATGTCTTCTTACCCGCTATGTCTATGTGTTGACTTCATTTTGTTATATACCTATCAATAATATTCTACAGTTTAAACTTTAATCTGACTGAAACTTGTACCAAGTCAAAGCAGCATTAAAAAATTTAAAAAAGATGAGAGAGAGAGAAATTTGGTTGACTTATAGTAGTGATAGTCAAATTAAAAAAAAAAATGAAACACACACACAATGAGTTGGGAGTCCTTTTGGAGTTCGGCAGTCCTACATAAATTATTTATTTTGTCTAGGTACTTAGAATTGGAATTATTAGAGTGCTTAGGAGTCTAATGATAAGTTCGCGCACTTTATTTTAAGTAGGGGTGGCAAACGGGCGGGTCGGATCCGACGCTACCCATATTTAATACGGATAAAAAATGGGTTAACTGACGGATACTATGGATATATATATTATCCATGACATCTTGAATATGATCACTTTTGGAAGAATTACTAGTCTCTTAAACTTGAGTACCCCCAATTTGAGGCTTTACATATGTAAAAGTTAAGCACATTAGTTATCAATTGGTTAATCATTTTCTAAGTGAATAATCTGGTTATTATACATATTTGACCTGTTTTTTAGAAGTTCATAATCCAATCCATTTTTAATGAATATATGCGTGGATAACTGTTTTCTTTTAACCATTTTGCCAGCGCTACTTTTAAGTATAAGAACATGACTCTCCCTTGAAATTATGAAATATTGGCTAACAATACTTATATTCTTTCTCTGATATAATTGTCTAATATTCCAATAAAGTTTTGTTGCAACTGTATAGTACACGCTTATTTGTTTTAAAATTGAAAACCCAGAAAAAAATTGTCAAGAACACACCAGTAAATTTTATATATAAGCAAGTAAAAGTTTTGGTTACAACTTTAAGCCTCCTTTTTCTCAAGAAGGAATACAAAAAAAACCAAGAAAAAATAAAAATTCCACAGTGTATCCCATTTTGATACACTTTACATTGATGAAATCATAGGAAAAATTCAGATAATAAAAGTCCAAAACATTCTCTGAAGAACTTGTTTCTTATCTTAATCAGCTGCACAAAATGGAATGAACTGTGAAATCAAATACTAAATATATGTATGAAATATTCTATCACTCATCACTATAATAGAGGAAATTTTTACTCCTCTTATTAAACAAACAACAAGAAACTAAGCCATTTTTTCTCTTCAAGTCCTGACCAAAGGTGAATTCATTGGAGAATGAACTGGTGAATTCATGAAATCATCCATTCGTCGAAACGATAAGCTGATCTGAAGTTTGCTCCTGCTGCATTGTTTCTTAACTGCAGATTTACTGTTAAGTCCTTTTGTTTGAAGCACAAAGTTCCTTATCCTTCTTAAAGCAATTCTCATTGTTTCATCGTCCATATTCGCGAAACAAACCCTAAACCAACCTGGTTCAGAACAATGAAAAGAACAACCTGGTGAAACATTAAGTTTCACTTCATTGATAATAATTCTCCACAATTCTAATTCAGATTCAAAAGTTAACTCTTTTAGTAACCTTCTTAAATCCATCCAAAAGAATAAACCAGCATTACTCTTCAATGTACTAATTCCAACTTGTGCTAGTCCTTTAGTAAACATCTCGTGTCTTTTTCCTAGTCTTTCTGAGCTCTCAGCAATGAATTTTTCGATGAAAGTTTCATCAGACAACATTGATGCAATCAAATGTTGTGTCTGTGTTGAAACGAGCCCGAAGCTTGACATTTTTCTAGCAATATTGACTACTGTATCGTTGTATGAGTAAACAATTCCGACTCTGAATCCAGGAAATCCCAAATCTTTCGACAAGCTATAAACAATGTGGATCAAATCTTTGTTGCATCCAACATGTTCTTCAACTATTTCAGAAACACTGATGAATTTCGGCTGATCAAAGACAGTAGCAGCATAAATTTCGTCGCATATTAAGTGGATGTTTTTCGAATTTATGAATGTTACTATGTCTTTCAGTGTATCACTGTCAAGAATAGTGCCTAATGGATTTGAAGGATTGTTTATAAGCAAACCCTTTATATTAATATTGGATTCTTGAGCTTTTTCATATGCAGATTCTAAGGCTTTTTTTGTGACCTTGAAATCATTAGAACTGTCACAAACAACTGGAAAAAGTTGTACACCAGTTCTCCACCTTAAATCTCTGTCAAATCTGCAATATTACAAATGAAAAATTATTTAGTATATGCCTCAAATAAGTAAACTAACCCAAAAAGAAAAAGCTAAAGATTTTTTTTTAACTTTGTTCCCTAGTGCTGGAAAGCAAACTTGAAAACCATGCAACTTTTTTTTTTAATGCTTTTTACAATACTCAATAGCGAAGCCAGAAATTTTACAAATAGTGTTCAAGGTTTAATATACATTTATAAAAAAGTAACTTTTTATCTATATAAATAATATAATTTTCTATATACTCAGTACTATAATTTATGTGGCTACGCCACTCCCTATTTGTCCTTGAGGGAACAGAGGGAGACATGACTGATAAAAATGAATTAGGGATGACTTTATGAGACAAATGAGAAATAAATAAATTTATTATGATACAACTTAATAAAAAAATTTGGTCTTTGTCACTTAGGACCACAAGAAGTTATGAAGGATGTTACTAGAGGACCCTATTTTCTCTGTTCTGTACAGATCAGTAGTTGATTTTCATGTCCCACATCAATAATTTAACTAGCTAGTCCAAGAACCCAAAATAAGTTAAAAATATGCAGGTCAAGGGAAAACACTTGTGATAGTGATTTGTAAAAGATAAGAGACCCCAAGTTGATGAAACAAATATAAAAAATTAACTAGGATTTTTATAAAGAAAATATAATTAATACTAGGTTATGGGTTAAGAGATCAACTAATGTGATTTTCTAGATTTGAGCCATGAGAAGGGAGAAACTCTTGGTCTGCGACACGACATGAAATTAATCGAACCAGTAAATTTCGGATACTGAATGATTAAGAAATTATAAGGCAGTCTTACCCAGGATAATATGGGGTAGGAACCAAAAATGCATCTCCAGGATTGGCCAAACAAAAAGCCAGTGTTTCATGAGCTCCAGTTGCTCCTCCACTCATTACTATGCGATTTGGATCAAATGTGACTTTGTCTCCTCTGACTTTTTCCATAAATCTTGCAACTGCCTGAAATAATTAAGATACATATATTTTATAAGGTAGTTAGAACACTGAATAATTTAGAGTATAAAAAAATAGGAATCTGAGTTTAGCTGGTATTTTGCTTTAAAAAGATTCATACCTGTCTAAATTCTGGCAAGCCATGATAATCTTGAAAAATGGCAATATCCCTGAAATCTTCAGCTCCTTCAGTTGTGCAAATGGAGGCTTTTGGATTATTCACCACCCATTCTTGGATTAAATCAAAGCAAAGCTGCAAAATACATGAAAATAGAGAAATTAACAAAAACCTCTAAAGTTTTCAGTTTTAGCCATTTTATCAAGAAAAGAGCAGAGAATATGTTGTTTTTATCTCCTACCTGATTTTCTGCAAGACCCATCTGAATAACACCATTTGGATTGTTAGTGAGATGAAAAGGATCATTTTCATAAGCTTTCCAGCCATCAAAATAAGCTGAGTTTTCTCCATGTCCATCATTTGTGGCTATTTTTGAAAGAAGCTGCTGCTTTTGGACGTTGCCTGAAATGAACACCATTTTCTGAAAGTTGTAGGGAAAATCAAAGATAATCAATAAAATGAAGTGGGTGTTGGCTAATTTTGTAATTATTTATGGTAAAAGAAGCTGTTTTGAGACTTTGAATATTTGTTTGTACAAGTCTTGTAAATTTGTGGAATGAAAATTGAAGTGGAAGTGATGCGTTATTTATACTAGTAATTCTAAGTACTACATTGTCATGGTCTCTAATGAAGTTTCCATGAAAGATAGGATCTACACGCACGCGTAACCACCCCCCCAATACCCCATCCCCAACCCCACCCCACCCCACCCAAACAATCTCCAAACACCTTTGAAAAAGTTAGTATATTGTTTTTTGAAAATACAATCTTGAGATACGTTAGGTGGTTTAATTAGTACGTGTGTGTATATGCTAATAGCGCACTAGTTATGAACTGTACAAGGCCCCTTCATTTCCCTATTCCCCCACCAAACATTATTATAGCTCTCCGTGATAAATACAACTAACACCAACAAAAAACCCAGCGGGAAAGATAGTGTGTACGCAGATCTTATCCCTACCTTATGAAGGTAGAGAGGCTGTTTTCGAAAGACGGTTGACTCCTCGGGGATAAATATAAAATGAATTCAACTTATATATAATGACAATATAATTAAATTTTGTACTATTAGTGTATTTAATTAGTTATAATACGTGATATATTATAGATATTACCTATTTCTCCAAATTACGTTGACCTGATAGTATTAAAAAATTATATATTATCGGTGCATAGAAGTATAACTCATCGTATAAAATACATTCTCTTAAGAGAATTGTGAGTCTTCTTTTAGAAATCAGTGTTTGATCATAAAAATTTTTATTTTCACTTGTAGATGAATTTTAGAATTTTTCAAAAATTTAAAAACTCCAAAAAGCTATTTTTCGAAATTTTCACTTCAGATCACTTACAAAAATTCAAAAACATCCTAATATTATATTCACATGTCCAAACACAACTTTAATTTTCAAATAACATCTTTACTTGAAAAAAAAATCACTTTTTCCGTAATTTTACATTTCTTATGTCCAAACGCCCACTAAAACTTTCTACGAAATATTTCAAAAAACAAAAGAGTAAAAGATTTACAGGAACTTCAGAGAATTTCTTGACGACTCTTTCAACTGATCTAGTTTTGAAGGTGAGGAAAATCTCTCTACAAAAAAAAATCTAGTTTTGAAGGCTCCGTATCTAATTACTAATGGATTCATTTTGTTACTATGATCGAATCTCAAATATAATTAGTGTAAAAATTACTTCTTCAATCTTCATTCTATACTTGATGAAATAAATATATGAAAATGAATTTGTAACTTATATATTAAGATGTAACTAATCTCATATTATATTGCACAATTGCAAAAGGCTACAATTTTCTAATGCAAATAAATGTCGGCGAATATGAGCAGTTTATGTCAACCTAATGGATAACATAAGGAATTAACTTAGCTGTTTGGTTGTAACTTTAAAAACTAAGTGTAGGTTTAATCACAATCATGTCGGATCATGTGTTCATTTTCTAAACCTAAAAGACAAAAGTAGGAAATCGTACGTGTGTTTCTTTTTCGTTGCTTTCCAAATTGATTGTCTCTACGATTGTACAGAAAAAGAAAAAAAAATACTAAGTATTTTATATCCAAATAGAAAGTTTTACTTTCGAACATTATGGTCCACATATAATTAATTATAAAACTACTGAAAATACTTTCTCTAAAAGTCTTCAATGCTTTGCGCTTAAAACCACAAAGAAAATAGAAGAAAAGATCAAGCAATAAGATTCCCCACAAGGCTAAAAACCATTCTTGAATTGTATGGTAGTTTTAATAGCAAACCTGTATTCTAGTTCTAGAAGGATGTAAAATTTAACTATATATATATATATATATATATATATATATATATATATATATATATATAATGACTGTATAAAAATATTTGCATTATCAAGTCACTTAAAATGTATATAATAGTAGCTTAAATTACAATTATGATGAAAAAATCTTCTATACTATCAATATATATAATATAAACTCATTAGATATACATTTCATTCTCCTTCTTCTATCCATACATAGGCGAATTTTAAGCTTATGAGTTCCTATACAGTCTCAAATTAATAAACATTAAAAATCAGATGAATGAGTTGGTTCCAAACTAAATATTCTTATAAAATTAATAAATTTTTCAATACAAAAACAAGGTCTAAGCAAAAGTTACTGGGTTCACGCAAAACTTCTCTGATTGTACTAGATCAGCCCATATATCCATATGATGATATTGTTCACTTTGAATCAAATCTTTAATGATTTCTCAAAATGTATCACATACACCATTATTGACAGAGTTGCTACACTTATATATATGTACTCGTAATTTTTATTTTTTGAACTTCCAATGCAAAACTTTATTCGTATACCCAATAACATATTTTTGAGGAAAAGGAAAAACAAAAAATTGGGGCTTCTAGTATGCATTTGACTTGTGAGATTAAGCAAGTCAACTAATGATTATTACCTTCTTACACACATCTGATATGTTTAGCTTAAAACGTAGAGCTAAATTGAATTTTGAAGCATTAATTACGTACACGTTCAAGCACATGCACAAAAATAGAAAGGAAACGTGAATTATTTGCATTTAATTCGTTAGAAATCCTTCATATTATAGAACGCGGTCGGAGCCTCAATAATTTACTTCAATTTTTCAAATTCTTCCTAAGTTTTTGGTAGGAAAAAGAATGCTTCCTAAATAGAATGGTACAATTTGTACTTCTATTTCATGAAATAATACACTTCTTACTATCTTTGGCACTGCATTATTGGGGTTACTTTATAAGGCTTTTTTCATTTTTAACCCGCACCAGAAATTATTTATATTCGGTAATTAAAAATATATATAAAATATATATAATTTTTGTATATAATATATATATATATATATATATATATATATATATATATATATTATACAAAAAGATATACATCTTTTCGGTTATTATTTTGAGAGTGCCATACAATATCATTTTCCCTATATATATTGTAGTCTTCTCGTTAGACCATTAATGTAACATGGTCACAGTCTGTAATTCTCACTTTTATGTCCACTCATAAGTTAAACAATACTTTGACTATTTTACGATAGATACTCTCTCCGATCCAAAATAAGTGACTTTTTAGATGTTTTCACACAGATTAAGAAATACACCTTTTAGCATTAATTTAGTAATGGAGTTGACCATATTAACCTTTATTATCTCACATAAACACTCCTAACACTATTTACTCCAAGGACAATGTAGGAGAAAAATAATTAATTCATTCTTGAAATCTGAAAAAATCACTTATTTTGGACCACAAGAAAAAGGCAAAAAAATTACTTATTTTAGACCGGAGGGAGTAACACTTATCCCCCGTATAAGCTCCCCACTTTACTTCCTTGATGACTCGAACCCAGTGGCGAAGCCACATGGTCATAAGGGTGGTCAGTTGACCACCCTTCGTCGAAAAATTGCACTGTATATATAGGTAAAATATTACGTTTTAGAGGTATATAACATATATTAACACTCTTTGTCGAAATTTTCACTTCTTTCAAATTTAAATACCTTGAAAAAATTCTTAGTTTCGCCGCCAACTCTGGGATTGGAGATGGAGACGACTGCTTACCACTTGATTACATTAGCTGTAAAATACTCTGTAAAAGGGTATTTAGGTTAAATCGAAAGAAATTGACACTTGCACTTGCACTTGCACAGAATGTTATGTAATAGATCGGATCAGATGCTTTTCTAATAGATTGGAAATGAAATTTGCACAGAATGCTATGTAATTGATCGGATCAGACGCTTTATAAATTAAATATTGGAGATTTTCTAGGAGACTCTCTCTCTCTTAGGATGAAGGCTTATTTGACAAGAGTTTTTTTTTTTTTTTTTTTGGTTTTCCGCTCAATGTTTGTATCAACATTTAGGATTCGCGTTGGAAAATCTTACATTTTTGGGAGGGGGAGGAAGAGGAGGGATAAAACGCTTCCTAACAAAGGTAGTTCTATATCCAGGAATCGAACTCGAAATTTTTCGTTAAGATAAAATGAGTATTTACCACTCCATTACAATTATTTATTTGACGAGGAATTGTTAACTAAATAAAATTAAATACAGCTGTTGTATTCGACTCCCATTGACTTACAACTTACATATTGCAGAGAATTTTGTCATACACTAGAAGTTAGAATAATAAAAATTTACCCAAAAGTGTAAAAGGTTTCTGGTCCCATACTTCGAGAGAACATTAAATAGAATTTCAGTGTATACTTCCTAGTTAGCCATCTGGATACAATTCCACCGTCTTGTGACTGTGGCACTTGAACTACCAAAGACTTAATTTGCCGGTGTTGCTATTATTTTCCAAAAAAGTTGAGGCTCCAGTGTGGAAAAATTAATCCAAAAAGAAAAAGAAAATAAAAAGAATTTTAATATTATACGAGTCTTAATTTAGATCAATCTCAAAGTCAACTTTGGAATTAAGTTTATGTTTAAACCTCATCTCTTAAGAGAGTTAAGATCACTTCTTTATACCAATTTCGTTCTTATATACAGTGGCGTAGCCAAATAGAGTGAAGGGTGTTCAGTTGAATATTCTTCGTCGGAAAATTACGTTAAGTAGATGGATATTATACCGTTAGGATCGAAAAAGTCAGGTGTCATGCGGAAGCCAGCAGAGCAATGCAACGATAAGTCCGACAACAAAGAGAAATCTACCAAAAGAGATACAAACATATAACGTGATTCGGTCAACTGACCTACATCCACGGCGGAGAAGACATATAACGTGATTCGGTCAACTGACCTACATCCACGGCGGATGCTCTTCTCCGCCGTGGTTGTAGGTCAGTTGACCGAATCATGTTATATGTTTGTATCTCTTTTGGTAGATTTCTCTTTGTTGTCGGACTTATCGTCTTTCAAGCATTGCTCTGTTGGCTTCCGCATGACACCTAACTTTTTCGGTCCTAACATATACTATGTGTATAAGTTAAAAATTACTCTTTATATATATATAATAAATCTTGAACACCCATTGTAAATTTTCTAGCTTCGTCACTGCTCATATAAGAGAAAAATTTAAG